TTGTATCTTTGATTTCATCATCGGTTACCCTTTTCTGAAGTTCTTGTATTTGGTTTTCAGAGCAACGGAACGGCAGGAGATTTTGCAGATCATCGACATATATTGGAGAAGTCATCATATCAGTGTATCCCAATGAATTCTCAAAATAACTGGCCGAGTGAGACTTGATTTCGTCGATTTCTGATATTCTCCTATCCGACTGGTCTTTCAGGAAGTGAATATGATTACGAGCAGCATGTTGCAAAACTGACCTGTGGAAAAAAGGAGTGTTTCTATCTCCCTAGTGAGCCCATCTAACACGAGATTTCTGACAGTAGAACTTTTCCTCCGCCGTTAATAGCGTTTGCCATACCTCTCTAGCCTGATGCTCTTCTCTTGCTAAGTGTGGTCCTGGGTTAGAGAGAATCAGCCGTTGTAACCTTGCAATTTTTGCCTCTTGAGTCTTCACTCTGACAGATATGCCACTGTAATGACGCTTGTTCAGCCGCCTTAAAACAGGCTTGAGAAGCTTTAAAGATCTTGCCAATTTGAATTGACTAGTGCCTTGAATATCTTGCGGTTTCCAAGCTTGACTCACTGATTCTGCATATTCTGGATGATCCACCACATGGTGAAAGAACTTAAATGGTTTACAGAGAGAACGCTGGAGAGATGGTACCTTAACTAGGCAAGCAGCATGATCTGACTGCAACGGCTCCATATATTCTGCATAGGATTCAGGAAAACTAGCAGACCAGAACTGGTTGATAAGAGCATGGTCGATCTTCTTTGAGATAGGATCATCATCCTGATTGTTCCACCAAGTGAATGAAAGACCCTTAGCTTGAGCTTCAAAAAGTTCGGCATCTTGTAGAGCTAGATTAAAGTCATTAATCCCTGATGTATCAACATCTCTTATATCATTATCCGAGTGTTGAGAAGTTCTTAGGATTTGGTTGAAATCCCCAATAACCGCCCAAGGGTGAGAAGCAACCGGCGTAGTTGCATTCATATGAGACAATTCCTCCCAAAGCGCTAATCTTTGCTCAACCAGATTAAAACCATATACAAAAGAAACCGTCAAACTTACATTCTGAGCCGGAATGAAGATGCCGCATGTGACTAACTAAGCCGAAGCCTGATAAATCACAAGAGACACAGACGGATCCCAAACCACCACAATCCTTCCCGTGATGTGATGTTCAAAATTACCAAAAATTTTCCAACCAGGTGGAATCGCTCTCGAAATTCTTCCTGAGTTGGGAGCCTGTATATGCGTTTCGCAAAACGCTCCAAAACGTGGCTTATGGATGTTAATCCATTCTCTTGTCATGCTCTGACGTCTGTGTTGATTCAGACCTCTAATATTCCACACAAAATACATTCCAAAAAGGTTTAGTGAGTTGTGACCTTACGGCCACTCTTCTTGCGTGAGACTTAGAAGAAAGGTTCCTCAACCACTTCTGCAGCTTCTACAAGCTTATTTGATATTTGCATTATGCTTGAATCTTTTACAATACCATCTGTTGTTGTTGTGGTTTCCACTAGGCTAGTAGAACTCTGATTTTCCTCATTGCCCACTTCCACATCCTCGAGATGTTCATTAGGAACTGTTGACTCTCCAACCACATTTGTGTCAGCCATGTTTGCAGTTGAATGTACAGCCTGATTATCCACAACTCTCCAGATAGTTTTAGGCTGTCTTGATCTTCTTGACCTCTCTTGTCTAGATCTTCTGCTTTATCTAGAGTCACTGCTCCGTGACCTTGTATTACTGGTTCTAAAAGTGTTTGTGTTTAGAGGCCTAAGAGAGCATTGATTAAGATCATGTCCATAAGCCCTACAAGCGGAGCATCTTGGTGGTAGAAACGGATAAGAGACATCAATTTCCACTTCCCTGCCATTAGAGAATCCTGAAATTACCTTTGTCGGTAGCTCTTTTGTTAGATCCACACGGACAACAACTCGCGCAACTTCGAAGGAGTCTTTGCGTTCAGTTTCTGGAGCGAGAGAGACTGGCTTGCCCACCGCAGTAGCGATTCTGCTGAGGTTCTGATTTGTGAATAGGAGATACGGAACTCCTCTGAATTCAACTGTTACAGGAGCTGAGGTGATTGGAGGGATTTCTGGGTTGAATTCAGGCGACCATGGGGACACAAACATAGGATGTCCTGCAATATTCCATATGCTTCGACCTAGCAGAATTGCTCTTGTTCGCGGATTCTGAACACGGAGGAGATATGTTCCTTTACCGATGTTATGCACAAAGATTCTTGGCCCTGAACGTGCCCATAAGGCATTGACCACTCCGATAATCCTTCCTAATTCTGGCCCCTTATCGTGGAACTGAGCGAAGATGAAATCTTTGAATTCCTCTTTAGTGTCTTCAATAGATTCATCAGGAATAAGAACGAATGGAGCTCCAGAGATGTGCTCTGTTGGTTCTCCGATTTCTTCAAGTAGAGATGTGTTGCTCAACACGGTCGACCATTTCCTGGTTGGAGCTTTGAACAACAGAGTTGATACTTCTACTGGTGGAACAGGACCGGAGTGTAGAGACTCGACGGCAACCTGAGAATTTCCGGTATTAGCATTCACCGTGTGCGTTTCCAGCTGTGGAGATTGAAGATCTGAAATAGGTTCAATTCCCGAGGTAGGGCAAGCCAACTGATCTGTAGAAGGCGATTCTTGAGAAGAACCAAGAGGAGCCTCCTCTGTTATTGTCGGATTGACAATAGAAGAAGAAGAAGCAGGAGGAACAGCGGCGGAAGGACCACCGGAGAGGAGAGCATTCTTCGACTTGAGGTTGGCTAAGGCAACTGCAGCTGCAGAGATCCGAGAGAATTTGGTGGAGTTAGAAAGGACCCCTTTTAGTCGTTTCTTTTTTTTGTTCATCGGACTTTTCTCGTCACCGGCGTGAGGCCGGTTACGGTGGGTAGGGGGTTTGTTTGGAGAGAAGTTTTTAGAGAGAGGTTTTTAGAGAGAGGCTATCAACAATTCATTTTCTAGTAATGTTCACATTGTCTATTTGTTAACAACATGTCATTGAACTACATAGTACTTGGGTATGCACGGTTTTGAAAGATTGTGATATTATTCTATACATGACATATATAGACTAGTATATGAACTGTGGCATGTGTATTCTGTTTACATGTAGATTGTGAAAT